TTTTATTTATCCTGTTTGATTTCTTTCAAAACTGTCTTTTTCTTGTTTCAAGCCTTTCAGTCATCTCTGGCAAGTTTTCTAGAGGAGAAGATCCAGGCAGATGCATCCCAAAGCAGTGCTTTTCTCCATGTCCAGTGGCAGCTCTGTTCAGCCAAATGCTGAGGTGTGTCTGCTCGGCATGTCCCTGTTTCTAGTCTAAGTTTCTTTCTGAGCTCAGTGAACTATTGCAGAATTGGAGTAAAGCAGGAGCAGTGCTCATTGATACGTACTTCTTAAAGAAAACGATGCATGCCCCATATCTGCCTAAATTAAAACAAAGCCCGATCTTGCCTCAACTCTTTCAGGGCTTTTCAAATTTGCTTTACTTGTTATTGTTCAAAAGATGTGCTTATGTCCCCATCCCATACTTGGAGAGCATGTAGTCTGTCATACAGCTTTTTTAAATGGGGGAGAAGAATCCCAGCCCAAACTGGTAGGTTCAGCTGTAGGAATAAAAGGCCCTACTGTAGAAATGCTGTTGCTCTGCCAGGTGTGCTGTAATTCTCCTCTTTATATGAGTGGAGTTTGATCCGTCTGTCCTAATAACATTATTGCTGAGCTTCGGGACCAGTGAAGATTTTGTTTAGCTTTGAAATTCACTTTCCAATAATATGAGTAGTTAACAATATAATTTTGCAATGCATTACCTCCAATTACAAGAATTAGGAAAGTAAACAAAGAGGATGACAGGGACTGAGTCACATCAAACCAAGAAAACGCTCCAGAAACAATCCTTCAGTTCTTAGACAGCACATATATATGGCTTTGCTGTTTTCCTTCCTGTCTCTAACAAGTTATTTATTAAACTTTGTAGAAGAAAGCTAATAAATAATTGGCTGCAGGCAACTTGATTTGGGTAAGTTTGGTATCATGCTATCACCTAGACAGCTGTCAGATGTACAGCCAACAACGTCATTGGCAAGCTGACACACATGCTCTTCCCCAGGCTGTGCAGCTGGAAAAGTCCTGAATGCTTTGTGCTAGATTGCTCCCTTAAAGGCATGCTGCTGTGGCAACCCTAGGGAAAAAAGTCATTTTTGGATAAAAAGCGTGTACAAATGAAATTATTGCAGCAAAATTCCATGACTCAGAAAAATGAAAATACAGAATTAAAGCAAAAGAATGCAGGAATGAGTAACATCTTTATGATTATCCATTGAACTCTAATATTTACTTCAATGTTGAAGTTGCTAAGCTACATTAAAGTAATTACTCAGAATAAAATGGTTAATTGGTTAATCGAGATGAATGTAACATGCATATTCCTGAATAGTTACTTTTTTAGCAAAACCTGCCTGTGCATGTTAAATGCATTCACTTGATTTGTAAAGTTTGAGACACTCTTCACAACATATTGAGGGAATGTAGTCCCTCATGCAAGTGTCCCAGTAGTAGTTAAGCTTACTGGTGGCATGAAAGCTGAATTTTATGAGAAATAATGAATTTGAATTGTGGACATGTGCTAGAAAAACCTGTGTTTTAATGTTTGTGAAAAGTTTTGAGAAAGCCGGTTTTATTTACTTACATCTTTTAGTTAAAAATAGAGATAAAAATAGGGGAAAAAGAAACCCAAGCCTGGTTCCTGATGTCATAAAGACAGAACAATTTCTGGTTTCCAAAGCACTTCCTCCGTTTCCGTGTTCTGTATACAGCAGCAAAGGCAGCAGGGATGGAGTGGAACAGAAATAAGTTTGTTGTGAGCATGGAGTAGCACTTGTCAACAATAGTGCTGGATGCTGGTTTCCTCTGGTGTTATTGCTCTGATCTCTTTTTTCTCCTACTGAGTTGTCTTGCTCCATTGCAACTTCCATTACCTCCGTAACTCTCTGATAGGCTCAATAGTGAGGAACTACTTGTTAATTGTAGGAGTGATTTTAAGATGAAACAGCCTGTGTCTTTATAGAATGTGTTTTATGAAAATGCTTATTTTGATCTTCATGCATAAAATCATAGCTAGGCAGAGGTAATATCACATATTAGGCCTGTTAGGTTAAAAAAGCAACACTTTTTCCAGGCTTAGGCAATGCTGGCTGACTTTCTCCAGCTCTAATAGCTGGTGTGGAAAAATGCCAGCTCTTCCTGCAGCTTTGCTTCTTGGTAGCCTTGGATCACCAGAGCTTTAGAAGAACTTTGTTGTAAAATCAAAGGCTTTAGTCACAGCACTTTTATGACCCGCTTACATATTTCTTTCAATTCACTTTATTCAGACAGTGAAATTTTTTCTTTCCTTGATCTTTTTGTTGATTTCTCAGTTCTAGTGAGACTTCCGTGAATAACTGATGGTAAGGCTGGGTTGCCGTCCCCCTTCACTCCTGTTGCTGTGTGCTTTATTCACAGGAGTGATTTTGTTTATTTAATGAAACTTCCTATGTAAATGGGATGTTCATCAACATATTGATGACACAGACCAAGAGTGTTTTAAAGGAATATCTTCTACTGAAAGCTGGCATATATAATTATTTACCCTACAAATTGGAATCCTATTCTGTATAGTAATGAACTCTGTGTGTCCAAGAAATGTGTATTTACTAATTGTGTAGGGTTTTTTGCTTTGTAATCAGTGCTCTTTATTAATAACAGTTCTGCCACTGTAATGAATGAAAACTTAAGTGAACTTACAAACCCTAATGGATTTAAGAGAACTAAGAATTGCCTGTTTTAATCTGATAACTTTGTATACTGCATGTTTTTTTGCTTTGTGTGTTGTGTGGGTTTACTTCTGTTTCTTGTTTTTATTATCTGATGCAGATAACAGTCCTGGATGAGACATGGACAGTATTCAGGCGGTACAGTCGTTTTCGAGAAATGCATAAAACTTTAAGGCTGAAGTACCCAGAGGTAAGTTTTGGTAAAAATTCTTTAGTAGAAAAGGGTGGAGGCTTGAAAATAAGGTTTTTGGATGATGCTTACTCAAAAAGGAAGGTGATTAGAGACAGCCAACAAGGCTTCACCAAGGGCAAGTCCTGCCTGACCAAACTAGTGGCCTTCTATGATGGAGTGACTGCATCAGTGGACAAGAGAAAAGCTACGGATGCTTTCTGTATGGACTTCTGTAAGGCCTTTGACATGGTCCTCCACAGCACCCTTCTCTCTAAATTGGAGAAATACAGATTTGGTGGGCAGATGATTTGGTTAATGAGGAATTGGTTGGATGGTAGCATCCAGAGGCTACTGCTGCAGTACTGTGTCCAGCTCTGGGCCCCCATGCCTGAGGAGGATGTGGACCTATTAGAGAGAGTACCGAGGAGGCCACGAAGGTGTTCAGAGGGTGGGACCACCTCTCCTATGAAGACAGATTAAGTTGGGCTTGTTCACTCTGGGAAAGAGAAGGCTCCAGGGACACCTTAGAGCAGCCTTCCAGTGCCTAAAGAGGGCCTATAAAAAGGATGGGGACAAACGTTTCAGCAGGGCTTCTTGCAATAAGACATGGGATAATGGTTTTAAACTAAATGGAGGGAGATTTAGACTAGACAGAAGGAAGCATTTTCTTTACAGTAAGGGCAGTGAAACACTGGTACAGATTGCCTAGCGAGGTGGTGGATGTCCCATCCGTGGAAGTATACAAGATCAGGTTGGACAGGTCTCTTGAGTAATCTGATGTAGTTGAAGATGTCCCTGCTCATTGCAGGGGGATTGGACTAGACTTTTAAAGGTCCTTTCTAGCTGAAACCATTCTATGATTCCTCTCAGCTCTATGCTTCTAGTAAGACGGGCAACCCCTTCAGCAGTTTAAAACTCCAAAGCTGCTAGGTACAGGATGGATGTCGCAGTGAAACTGCGACTCCATGTGTTGCTTCTAGCCATTAATTCCCTTTACTGCTGCCTGGTGTTCCCTGGAGGTTGCTGTTTTGTTCGTTGCAAGATACTTGCAGTCAGATCATGTCATCCTGACAACTCCTCATTTAAAAAGCGTTGTTCCACAGATACCCTGCTGTAATAGTGGCTTCCAGGTTTCTGCAAAATGGAAAATTGATCTTTCTGACCACCTCAGAGACACTGGGTATTGAGGATATGAGGAGCTGTGCCTGACAGAGCTTTAGTTCATTGCACTGAGCTTTTGTTTTGAATTACATTCTTGGTTTCCGCATCTAAATTTTAATCATTAACATTTTGCTTCTTTTCTACTTGTTCCCTTGAATATTGAAAGAAATAAATCATTAGAGCAATGGAAATGATCCTGATTTGAGAGTTGCACAAGTAAGGAAGCCTGGGTCACATATTCATGGGTGATATATTGAACAACACTAACATGTTCAAGAAAGAGAGAGATGCAGTAGTGTGCAAATGCTTTCTTGATCTTCATTGATGAGTATTTTTGAGCTAGAATCTAATAGAACCCTTGAGTTTTAAAGAGTAAAATGTGTAGGTCTGTGTTTTGTGGAGGTTCAGGGACTTAAGATCATTCCCATTCCAAAACAAGTTGAAACTATCATGCACCAAATATCTAAGGGAAAGTCTGGAGGAAAAAAGAATGAGAGAGAGAAAGAGAAAAGAGAAAGAAAATCAGGTCATCTTTTCTGGTTGTCATGAAATTTTTAAAGGTAAGAATGAGTTTTGAATGGAAAGATTAAATGTTCTCTTTCCACAAATGCTTTTAAAAATATTACTTGTGAATGAACATCAGTATCATGTTTTTGATTTGAATGAATTGCCATTTCCTCTTGGATGTGAGAGTTATAGCCTCTCAGCAGTAATATCCTAATTGCAACTAACTCTTGAAAATACAGCTGGGCAGTCATCCAGTTGAAATAGAAAAGAACCACCTGAATCCCTCTGCAGACTGATTTTCCCTTTTTAAGGAGAATCATAGAATCATAGAATGGTTTGGGTTGGAAAGGACCTTAAGATCATCTAGTTCCAACTCCCCTGCCGTGAGCAGGGACACCACACACTAAACTGTGTCGCTCAAGGCTCTGTCCAACCTGGCCTTGAACACTGCCAGGGATGGAGCATTCACAACTTCCTTGGGCAACCCATTCCAGTGCCTCACCACCCTCACTGTAAGAACTTCTTCCTTATATCTAATCTAAACTTCCCCTGTTTAAGTTTAAAGCCATTACCCCTTGTCCTACCACTAGAGTCCCTAATGAAGAGTCCCTCCCCAGCATCCTTGTAGGCCCCCTTCAGATATTGGAAGGCTGCTCTGAGGTCTCCACACAGCTTCTCTTCTCCAGGCTGAACAGCCCCAACTTTCTCAGCTTGTCTTCATACAGGAGGTGCTCCAGTCCCTGATCATCCTCATGGCCTCCTCTGGACTTGCTCCAGGAGCTCCATGCCCTTTTTATGTTGAGGACACCAGAACTGTACACAATACTCACGAGAGCAGAGTAGAGGGGGCAGGATCACCTCCTTTGACCTGCTGGTCATGCTTCTTTGGTGCAGCCCAGGATATGTATTTAAGTAGTCTTTTTCAGAGTCTGTTATCAGTCCTGACAATCCATTGAGGAACAATTGAATTTGGCTTTTAGTTATGTCAGAGGGAGATCAGCTTCTTTCTTGGATGGAGTGATCAGATTCATGAAGAATCTGATGTTCTTAAAGGCATTATTAAAAGGTCCCGTGTGCTTCAGCATATTAAGGTCACCTCTTTGAATCTAGTATTTGTGATTCACAGTACAAATTCAGGCTTTTCTGGTCTTACAGGAGGGAGTGGGGTTTTGAGGGGATTGTTAGTTTGTTTTGAAGAATCATAAGAACGTAGCAGTGGTATTACTAGGTCAAAATAAAGTCTGTCATCCAGAGAGACTTTAACAGACAGAGCATTTAACTGAGGAAAAATCCCAGCCTAGAGCAAAGGTACATAGTTTTCTTTATCTTGGAGTCTTCCCAGCTGAAGTTGTTTTCACTGTAATTAGTAGTTATATGAATATTTTTCCTGTGGATTTTATGTGTATTTTCCATTCTCTACACCACTCACTTCATAGGTAGCTTATATAGGTAATTTTCTGCTGCTGCTGCTTTTTTCTTTTTTTTAGCCTCTCTCTGTGGTCATGCTTTGCAAGGTCACTGCATTCTCTAGTTTAATGTGCCTGTTTGTTTCTTGTTGACACTTCTGTGTTGCCATATGTCTGTCTTTGGTAAACTTACTGAGATTCGCATGTAGTACATAAATGGAATTATCAGTTTAACTATGCAGATGAAGAAATCTCTAATTTCCACATAGGAAATATATGAGAGTGTGTTTTACTAAGTTATCTGTTCCCTTCTCAACAACTTTTTAAGTCGGGGCAAATACCAAGTCTTAGAAGTTTGTCAATATAACTTTCCCTAAAGTATGATACACTTTGGAGAAGAATTGTAACGTGTTTTGGCTTCTAATATACTTGAAAGAAATGCTTAGTCATGTTAATTTCTGAAACAATAGGTAGATAACTTTAGTAGTATCTTCTTCCAGCCTTTTTCAAGCCTCTAGAACAACCTTCAATAAATTACTAGCAAGGTTCAAGTATGCGTACCTTTGCTAACTACAAAGCACACTAAAGTTCAAGAGAAGTAAGATAAACATTTGATCATGTCATCTGCTGCTTTTAGATAGGTACTGTCACTGAAGTACCTGCTCTGGAAACCCTTGCAAGGCTCATGTCTTCTGTTTCACATAGTACAGGCTGTTGTGTTGTGTCTACTGATTTGAGGCATCAGGTACCCCACGGAAACGGCAAGTTTGTGAGCAGAAGAAACTTACCTACCACGCAGTTGGTTTCTTCTACTCATCAGCATTTCTACAAACAACCGTGTCTTTGTTTATCAGAGGAGAGCACATTGTGATGGATGAAGTATCGTGTTCTGTAGTTAAGGATTTGGTATTTATTTTCTTTGAAGGAATGTCATCATCAGTGTCACATATGTGAATGATGTCTTCCCATATTTTTAACTGTATTTAAAATAGCCTTAATATCTAGTAATTCTCTTATTGGTTTTGCAACATGAGTAGGAGTTCAGTTTGTTTGGTAAATTGAAAATCATCTGTCTGCTTCTGCTCATCTGTCATTGACCTAATTTGGGAATCACCATGATGCTAAAATGCATTTTAATACCAAACTTGGCAAAATTGCATTCTTAGTTATCGTATATTATTCCAAAGGAAGTTGATCCTTAAAAGCAACGCTATCAGAATCCATCAGAGTTGAATTTTATTTTGCATATACTTCACCATCCGACTCTAAATTAATATTTAAAATGAACAGTGAAAATACTGTGGACGTGTTTAATGTATGAGTGTCCTGCTTTTAGAAGTGAACTTTACAGCTCATTAGTTGCTCAGCTCTGAGTTACTACATCAGTATTTTAATAATTTGCTGATCTTGCATTTCGTGTTGCTGCCACTGAGTTCCCAAAGGAATGTATTGGCAAACTGATTTATTAGGAAGGTATAGAAAAAAATAAAAGTATTTCTTTCAGAAGCAGAAACTATCTAATGTCTTCCAGTCTTACAGTATGCCGTATATTTTATATACCTGCACATTTCTTCTAATGTAGTTAAGTGGCTGCTGACAACTGAATATCTAACTGAAATGTGTCACATGGTAATTTTGAAAGACTGAAGAAGCTGTAGCAGGATGAGATTGTGCCAGTGGCAGATAAGTACCAAGCATTTAGCTGTGCCTGTATTTTTAAGTCTGCATGATTGTCACTTGCCCAGCCTCAGCTTTCTTATGCTGTGAGATTGTTAATGACTCTCTTACTATTTTTGGAATTTTAATTAACACCATACTTGGTTTTCAGTTTCAGTCTTTGTACAGGAATATACTTTTTGTTTGTTATTAGTCAGAAAAAGGAGTAAATGATCTCTTTGATAGAGAAGAGAGAACTTGCAGAGTAAGATTCTCTTTTGTTCCCTT